GGAGTCTTTGTTCCCTGGAAACCGCATCTTCAGGCCGTTGCCTTGGTGCTCGCCGGTCGCAGGGCCGACGACCTCGCCCTGCTGGCCGTGCGTGAGCTTATTGCCACTCTCAAACGAATGGCTCGAGCCCGTCCAGTACAGCTGGTCGCCAAGCTCGTGACCGCCCGGCAGAGGCGGCGGCTTCTCGCGGCTAAGCTGGGGCAGATAGCAGTCTACGTGCCCTTTGTTCCCTGGAAACAGCATTTGCAGGCCGTTGCCTTGGTGAAAATCGGTCGCGGGGCCGACGACCTCGCCCGACTGGCCGTGCACGAGCTTATCGCCACTCTCAAACGTCTGGTTCGAGCCCGCGTAGTACAGCTGGTCGCCAAGCTCGTGACCGCCCGGCAGAGGCGGCGGCTTCTCGAGGCTGAGCTGGGGCAGATAGCAGTTTATGGAGCCTTTGTTCCCTGGAAACAGCACCTGCAGGCCGTTGCCTTGGTGCGCGCCGGTCGCGGGGCCGACGACCTCGCCCTGCTGGCCGTGCGTGAGCGTATCGCCACTCTCAAACGAATGGCTCGAGCCCGTCCAGTACGGTCGCCGGTCTCGTGACCGCCCGGCAGAGGCGGCGGCTCCTCGCGGCTGAGCCTGAGCAGAGAGCAGTTTATGGAGCCTTTGTTCCCTGGAAACAACATTTGCAGGCCGTTGCCTTGGTGCTTGCCGGTCGCGGGGCCGACGACCTCGCCCGACTGGCCGTGCGTGAGCTTATTGCCACTCTCAAACGTCTGGCTCGAGCCCGTGTAGTACAGCTGGTCGCCAAGCTCGTGACCGCCCGGCAAGGCTGGCCGAGCGCCGCTGGCCATTTCGGGCTCTAAAACTCTGGCTGCGCCCGCGGAGGCTGAAATGCTAGAGCGCCGGCTGCAGAATGCCTCCAAAAGAATTTAGACAAAACAACTCTCTCTCACAGCAGACAGGCTCGACACAGGTGCGAACTGGCGCGTGCTAGTACTATCACCGGCACACCACCGGAGCCGCCTAAGCGACTCCGTTAAGAACGGCAATGCACTTAGCTCCGTGCACAATGCCAAAAGAATTTTAAAACCGTGGCACCGCATCTGCGGTGAAAAGATTGCACTCCAAGTGCTCCAAGTGCGCACAGCACTGGGCACGGGACTGGCGCGCACTGGCACTAACACAGGTACACCACTGGAGCCGCCTAAGCGACTCCCGCGAGGTAGGTAGCCCGCGAGGACGGCGAGGCACTTAGCTCCGTGCACTCGACCGCGGCCCTCGCCGCTGGCAAGCTCATTCACAATCTGCTCTGCGATGGCCGTGTGAAGAACGACTGAGATGCGCTGCTTCTGCAGCCCCAGCCAGCTCTTGGTGGTCCAAGTCACCTCATCGAGGTACTGGGCCCGCGTCAGCTTGTTCTGCAGCGCGTTCGCCGCCCCCCAGAGGTGCAGAGGATCTCGCCGACCCCCTTCCCAAACCCACCGAACGACTCGAACAGCAGCAGCCGCACGTCGACGTCCTTGTCCTCCCTGGCGTAGCGATACTCGCCGCCATAGGACGGTTCGTATGCGGCGATCGCCGCCCACTACCCTGCCCCCCCTAGTATGCCATCGACCAGTCCCCTGCCCCCTCTCGCCCTTGCTCTTCCTCTCTCCCTCCATTCCCTCGCCCCCATACCCTTCACACTCCCCTCCATCCCCCTCCCCCTCCCCCTCGCCTCCCTCTCCCTCCGCGCGGTAGGGCCCATGCCCCTCGACCATGTTCCGGTAGAACGCCTCGGTG